GGAGGAGTGAACTGACTGATGCTTCAAGCCACTTCAGTTCTCAGTTGGAGAACTGCTTACTTCCACTGAGTCAATACACAAAATCTTCAGAATACCAAAATGGTGGTTATTTTAAGCCAGTAAATTTTGGAGTGATTTATTACACCTTTTTTGTTGTGGTTTGGAAGAGATTGAGTATTGGTTGTGGAAAATTAAAAATAAAGGCATTTATAATAGATTTCTACCAAAATGAGAGAGACTTTGTCATTTGTACTTAGAAGTTGTTTAAGGTTTCCTCTCCCATAGTTTGCTATTTCTCTGAGGAAAGGAAAAGATAGACACATCTATGAAACAGACATTTATTGAAATCTGACTCAGTTCTAGGTCAGGACATGTGCAAAAATTTGAGAAAAACTACCTCACCATAAAACAAGTTTTTCTATTCACAGGGTACATATAATTTAGTGGAAAGCAAGGCTATTAAATAATAATACACACACACACACACATAAAATCACTAAATTGGGGATGTGGGCATGGAATCAGAATCTAAATAATGACTAGGCAATAATTTTCCAAAGAAAGTTATACTTCAAGAGAAGTGTGACATCCTAAGGTAGCAGGTTAGCACATTTCATTAAGAAACCAGAGTTCTTAATAGTTTGGATTTTTAAAGTTTTTGCTTTAAGTTCGGGGATACATGTGCAGGTTCGTTACATAGGTAAACTTGTTTCAGTGGAGTTTGTTGTTCAGGCGATTTAGTCACTCGGATGGTAAGCCTAGTACCCATTAGTTATGATTCCCGATTTCTCCCTCCTCCCACTCTCCACCCTCCAGTAGGCCCAGTGTGTTGTTCCCCTTTATGTGTCCATGTATTTTCATCACTTAGCTTCCACATAAACGGGAGAAAATGCAGTATTTGGTTTTCTGTTGCTGCATTCATTTGCTAAGGATAATGTCCTCCAGCTACATCATTGTTCCTGTAAAGGACGTGCTCTTGTCTTTTTTATGGCTGCATAGTATCACATGGTGCACCACATTTTCTTTATCCAATCTAGCATTGATGGGCATTTAGGTTGATTCCATGTTTTTGCTATTGTGAATAGTGGTGCAGTGAAATATGTGTGCATGTATCTTTATAATAGAATATATATATATTTTTTGCTTTAGGTATATACCCAGTAATGATATTGCTGAGTCAAATGGTATTTCTGCTTTTAGGTCTTTGAGGTATCACCACACTGTCTTCCACAATGGTTGAACTAATTTACACTCCCACCAACAGTGTATAAGCATTCCTTTTTCTCCGCAACCTCACCAGCATCTGTTATTTTTTGACTATTTTGTTTTTGTTTTTAAATTTTTATTTCAATAGTCATTGACATCCAGGTGGCATTTGGTTATGTGGATAGGTTCTTTAGCGGTGATTTCTGAGACGTGAGTGTACCTGGCAGCAAAGCAGTGTACACTGTACCCAGTATGTAGTCTTTTATCCCTCATCACCCTCCCAATCTTCCCCCTTGAGTGCTCAATGTACATTATATCATTCTCATGCCTTCGCATTCTCATAGCTTAGCTCACACTTATATGTGAGAACTTAATTATATTTGGTTTTCCATTCCTGAGTTCACTTTGAATAACGGCCTTCCAGGCTCCATCCAAGTTGCTGCAAAAGACATTATTTCGTTCCTTTTTATGGCTGAGTGATATTCGTGTGCGTGCGTGTGTGTGTGTGTGTAACATTTTCTTCCCCTAATTGGTTGATGGGTACTTAGGTTTGTTCCATATCTTTGCAATTATGAATTGTTCTGCTGCTGCAAACGTGTGCCTATGTCTTTTTTTTAATATAATGACTTCCTTTCCTTTGGGTAAATACCCAGTAGTGGGATTGCTGGATCAAATGGTAGTTCTCCTTTTAGTTCTTTAAGGAATTTCCATACTGTTTTCCATAGGGATTATCCTAGTTTACATTGCACCAGCAATGTGTAAAGTATTCCTTTTTTACCACATCCATGACAGCATCTATTGTTTTTTGACTTTTTAATTATGGCCATTCTTGCAGGAGTAAGGTTTTAATTTACATTTCCCTGATGATTAGTGATTTCTTTTTTATTTCCTAGAATAGTTATTGATTAAAGCTAAAAAGTAGGCAGTTGTACAGAATGGGGGGAAAGGCATTGATTAAGTAATATCAAAAAATTACCTCAAATTTGGATTTAATATGTTCTTAATTACACTAGGTCTTAATTCTTACAATATTTCTTTCTAATAGACATCTTTTTGATTGAAACTGAATAGTAGAATATTGTGCAGAATAGGAAAAAAAAGTATTGATTTAAGTAATATTATGAACATTATCCCAAATTTGGATTTTTGTGACCCCATATTTCATTTCTTCCTCAGAACTTATGTCTTATTTACAAGAAGTTTTCAACTGAGGCAAGGGTGCCAATCAAAACAATTCCCTTATTATATATTACTCATTTTATGTAGAAAATGTTGAGCATATTTAACAATTTTTTGGGAGAGGACAATGTTATTTTATCAGGTTGGTTATAACAGTATTTGTTATTGTCACAAAGCTACTAACAAAGTTATTCATCTAATAGCTAAAGTTTGAATGTCTCACATAAGTGTAGAACCTTTCATTTTAGAAAATTATCTAGTATGTCTGTGATCAGTAAGGAAAATAGGAAAAAACTCCACTTTGGAAGAATACTACTAATATTTCATTGGCATGTTCACATGACATATAGGCAGCATTAATGCAGAATATTTAAAAAAAAATTCTTGGTGGATGAATCTATAAACATTTATAACTATACTTGATCAGTAGGACTGTTGAGAATCCCTAAAAATAAATGCCAAGAAGAAGATAATATGTTCTTAAAGAAATTTCAAAATAGACTGTTAGAGATGGAATAATCAATGTGAGAAATAAATACTTTGAAGTAAAAATACTTATATATTTATATAGCTATATATTAAGTAATCATTTCTATAATTTTTTGTGTGTATATGTATACACACACATTTATGAATAATTTGTATACTAATGCCATGACTAATAGCGTAAAGCCACCTTTGGCTTTATATAAAGAAATTAGAACTCTGAGGTTCCATGTTGATGGGTGTTCGTTTTTTAAGGACTTTTTTACGCATTTGTGAGGTAAAAAAGAAAAGAAAATTAAAAAATGTAAAGGCAAACCACGTAATGGGAAAAAAATGTTTGCAAAACACATAACTGATAAAGGGTTGGTATACAAAATAATACAAAGAACTGAAACTCAATAATAAAACAATACCACAATGAAAATAAAATGTACAAACGATCTGAACAGATACCTAACCAAGGAAGATATATATGGCTAATAAACATATGAAAGATACTTGACATCATATATCATTAGGGAATTGCAAATTAAAACAATGAGATACCATTATTGACCTATTAAAATTACAAAAATCAGAACATTGACAATATCAAATACTTGTGAGTTTGTGGAGCAATAAAATCTCTTATTCATTGCTGGTGGGAGTCCAAATGGTGCAACCATGTTGGAAGATACTAGCAGTTTTTTTTACAAAATGAATATATTGTTATTTTATGATCCAGCAAACAAACTCCTTGGTATTTAGCCAAGTAAGTTGAAAACATATCTACACAAAAACCTGTACATAAAATTTTATAACAGTTTTATTCATAATTATGTAAGGTTGGAAGCAGCCAAGACATCTTCAATAGGTGAATGGATTAATAAACCAAATCATGTTGCATCCATGCAATGGAATGTTATTCAGTTCTTTAAAAAATGATTTATTTTTCTAAAGACTTGGAAGAATCTTAAATGTAAGCTTTCTTTAAATGAAGAGAGACTTATGTCTTTTCTATTTTGGAAGTCCAAATGATGGATGCAATGTGGATATTATCTTACATCTTAGCACCAATAGAGCTTGATGAGTTTAATTTATAAATGTTTATTTATGTCTGTCTCTTCCATATCTGGCTTTATATTTGGAAGATTGCTTTACTTGTAGTTGAGGCTAATCTTTTTTAAGGTGTTCAATCAACCGTTACATTATAGATTCCTAGGTCCTTAGCCCAGAAATTCTGATACAGTAGATATCAGATGGGGTCCAAGAATCTGCCTTCTAGTTAATTCATTGACACTTATAGTTTAAGAATTATAGTTTTAGGCCTTGGTTATGATGTATAAAATAGGCAGTGTCTTGAAAGAGTGCAAGAGTATATCATGGAAGATATAGATTCTTCAATTGGAGAAGAATCTGTTTTAGTCTTACAAGACACTTCCATATAAACCACTTGAGTTCATACGTTCTCTTCTCAACTATCACTGACTACCTTTTATGAAAGCTGAAATTACTCTTAATAAGTGAAAATTCATATATATGAGAAATATTGTATAAAATTATATAAAAAGCATTGATCCAGACATTTTAGATAAATTTAAGTCATGAAAATTTAAAGCTATTAGAATTCTGGCACACAATTGCTTAATTGAATTGAATGTAAAGATTGTGATGATGAATTTTTTCTTTAAGATACAAATATTGTTGATAAAATTTGAAGGCCTCTATAGCACCTTAATTTAATCTGACTGCGTTGTTCAGCCTCTTTCACAAAGATTATCACTCTCCTGACTTGTTTATTATTCAGTGTATTTCTTTAACAGTATATTTTAACAAAGGTTATCATACGAATTACACAAGGTATGGTTTGGTTTCTTTGATGTTAGTTGTCTTGTCTAGAAGGGATGATTTTATCTCAGCTTCTTTACTGAATTCTTATTCTATGAAAAAGGAAGTTTGTCTTCCTCTTGCTAATTAGTTCATTCATTGGTGAGGGAAGTGATAGCATTCTGATTAGCTCTTATTGAAATGATAGATATTTAAGATATTTTGGGATAGAACGTTCTATAAGAATTAGTTCTTTTTAAATGGGAACTTTAATAACAATTTTTACTTGTACTATCTCTTGGCAAAATTTTGTTTGTTTTCAGATACATTTTTGAAAGTGGAAAAAAAAACCTTCAAAGCAGTATCTCATCTTTCCTAGATGTTTCATGGAACAATCACAGAAGAGCTAACCAGTCATGAAGAATGGAGTCACTATAATGAAAACATAAGAGAAGATCAAAAAGATTTTGTTTTTGTGAAGTTCAATGGCCTTCATTTAAAGTCTATGGAAAATTTACAATCTTGCATCTCTCTTAGAGTATGCATCTTCTCAAACAATTTTCTTACAGATATTCATCCACTTCAAAGTTGTGTAAAATTAATCAAACTTGATCTCCATGGAAATCAGGTAAGCAATAGCCATTTCATATATTTGCATATAAATGAAATTTCAGTTTTATAATAAGTACTTATGTTACCTATCCACAGTATTTCTCCAAGATGGTCTTTTAACTAAAATATGAACAAAAATTTCACAATAAAAATATGTAAGATGTATATAAATAGACATTTTAATGTAAATGGAAATATGTAAATTGTGTATAATTTGGTATGTTTCACTTCTTAAATCTATAGCCTGGTTTAAGAGTGCCTTGTGACTCCTTCATTTTCCTTATGTAAGAAAAGCATTTTATAAAAGTTTAAAGACTCAACTTGTTACAAAGGAATTTTCATTGAACAAAAAAGTATGATTATGCATTTTACTACATTAATAATAATAAATTGAGTAGTCAACATGCCGTCAGCTTCACAACCTGCCTGGTATGGTTTGAATGTGTCCTCACCCAAATTTCATCTTGAATTGTAACTCTCATAATTTCCACACCATGGGAGGGACCTGGTGGGAAATAATTTAACCCATGCTGCTGTTCTTGTGATAGTGAGTGAGTTCTCACAAGATCTGATGGTTTTTTAAGGGGCTTTTCCCCCTTTACTCGGCACCTCTCTCTCCTGCTGCCATGTGAAGAAGGACATGTTTACTTCCCCTTCTGCCAGGATTTTTTCCAGAAACTCCTAAGGGAAGAGGCTTGATTTGGGAAAACTCACAGTGTTCATCCGGTGTCGTGACTTTCGTGAAAATAGCATTGGGACCCTTGCCAGCACTAGTGAATGGAGTGACAAAAAACTTGTAGAAGGATTTCAGCTTTAGATTGTCTACAATCAATGCCTTTTCTTCCTGGTTGTCAGTTTTGTATTTGCAACATTCTGAACCATTTGTGATTTTTTAATTTTCTTTTCAAGGAAAAAAATATTTTATTGAAAGTGTGGTGAATAAAAATAATAATAATAATAAATTATCTTAGATGTCCAGTGTAGTATGGTTTTTACCAGGCCAACAGTGGATAATTATACTCTATTTGCTTATTAATTAGAAATTTGCTATTTGGGGAATTTTAGATGTGTAATGTCTTACCATTTTTTCTGCTATTAGAAAAAAGTAATTTTGGAATTTAAAATATTTTTAATAATATTTCAGATAAAGAGTCTACCAGATACCAAATTTTGGAGTGGATTGAAGAACCTAAAACTCCTCTATCTTCATGACAATGGGTTTGCAAAGTTAACGAATATATGTGTATTATCTGCCTGTCCAAGCCTCATTGCCCTCACTATGTTTGATTGTCCAGTAAGCCTTAAAAAAGGATATAGACATGTTCTTGTTAACAGTATATGGCCTCTCAAAGCACTGGATCATCATGTGATTTCTGATGAAGAAATAATTCAGAACTGGCATCTTCCTGAAAGATTCAAAGCATGTAACCATAGATTTTTCTTTAATTTCTGCCCAGCTTTGAGAAAGGTAATTGGCCTCTTTAGGGTGTCATTTTAATTAAATGTGTAAAAGTGAAATTTTAGCTTCTGAGTTTTTTTTTTTTTGAGATGGAGTCTTGCTCTGTCACCAGGCTGGAGCACAGTGGCGCAAGTCTAGGCTCACTGCAACCTCCGCCTCCTGGGTTCAAGCGATTCTTCTGCTTTAGCCTCCCGAATAGCTGGGGCTACAGGCGCGTGCCAAATGCCCGGCTAATTTTTGTATTTTTAGTAGAGAAGGGGTTTCACCATGTTGGCCAGGATGGTCTCGACCTCTTGACCTTGTGATCCACCCACCTCGGCCTCCAAAGCTTCTGAGTTCTATAACTAAATTTTATAAACTCTTTAATGTTTTTGCATTATTTATATAAAATAATATAAACCAGTGCATATATTTGTAATGGCTTCTGAAAATTTATAAAACTTGGTATGCCTACTATAAAAAAAAATCCTAAAGTGATCAAATTGTAGAGAAACAAATTTTTGTTTTTTTAAATTGAAAAGATATCTCTAATTTATTCAAGATTTGGTATATGGAAGACTCCACTGGAGAAGATTTGATGTTTTTTGAGAGCCTTAGAAGATAACTTAGATTATTATTCGAAGAGGCTAAAATATTTAATTCTTACACAATTAATTTGGTGATTTGGCAAGATAAAACCATCATTTTCTGTGATTTGTAAGATGTTGGAAGAAGAGATTATGAAAAGTTGATACCTAGTTAATGGTTATAGACTACTTAAGTGGATTTACAAAAATATAAGGAAACATTCTTTGTGACACATGAGCGAATGTTACAACAAATCATTTAAGACTTCAAAAGAGAGGATTAAATTAAGTACAAGATATATTAGTAATGTAAGTTGCAGAAAAATGTCTATAATATGTTGTAAAGATATGTGACGTCACATATGTTTGTAGAAAATTTGAGGAAGTATAGAATATCAGTTTGTACAGTGAGTACATCTAAAAGAATGAACGGTGATTATGCATGGAAAAGCTGAAAATTACAAATTTGGAAGAATATTACTGTAGATATATTTTTTAATTAGGAGTGTATTAGTGATTTTGTAATAGATTTAAAAATTTAGGATTTTGGTAATAATTTTGTAGTCATAGTTTAAAATATAAACAAGATAGTATTTAAGTCTGATACCTTAACCTGGGCCCTAAATTAAGCATTTTATTTATGTACTTCAATTCTGTAGTATGGCATAATCCAAAGTGGCAACATGCATGACCCTTTAAGGATAATCAAAGTGACTGAGATTCATTTTAGGAAGTAACAGAAAGTTGGGCAATAGGCATTGAGAAAGAACTTGGATGAGCTACAAAAGAGCTTACACTTAATGAATAAAATGAAGATTAATTGAAGTTATTTGAGTTGGAAAATCAGAGTAGGTCTGTCATAGTAAGTACTCTATGAATATATGGTATTGACAAGGTTTTTAAAAGATGATAGGAGGAGAGAGATCCAAGATGGCTGATCGCTAACAGCTTGGGATTGTAGCTCCCAGTGAAAGCACAGAGAATGAGAGGACACCACAGTTTCAGATGAATTTTTGTCACTCACAGACCAGAAGATTGCCAGTGGAGGAGCCCCACGGGTTGCCAGCGCAACGCTTGTGGCCGGCGCAGCGGTTTTGCTGGCGCCTTGGCGTGGCAGCTCTTGGTGCAGAGTAAACGGGACTGGTTCCCCTTCTGACCGACGTTTGGAGCTTTGGGAAGGCAGAGTCACCTATTACAGACTCAAGAAGGAAGACAGACCAGAGATTCCCTGGCAGAAGAGCACCATCAGTCTTAACGCTGCTGTTTTGGCTGGCGCAGTGGGTTGCTCAGATTCCAGCACTGGGAATCAATAAATTGGACGTCCACTCAGAAACCTAATTAGAAAGGCGGTAATTACAAAAATGACAGATGGATAAATTTATAACGAAGGGAAGAAACCAGCCTAAAAAGGCTGAGAATACCCCAAATCAGAACACCTCTCCCTCTACAGGGATTACAGTTCCTCATCAGCCGCGGAACAAGGCCTGATGGAGAAGGACTCTGTTCCATTAATAGAAGTAGGCTTCAGAAGGTGGATGATAAGAAACTTTTGGGAGTTAAAAGAACTTGTTCTAACCCAATGTAAAGAAACTAAGAACTTTGGAAAAAGGTTTGATGAAATGCTAACAAGAATAAACAATATAGAGAAGAATATAAATAAATTAACGGAGTTGAAAAACACAACATGAGAACTTAGCAAAATACGCACAAGTTTGAATAGCCGAATTGTTCAAGCAGAAGAAAGGATATCAGAGGTCGAAGACCAACTTAATGAAATAAAACGAGATGACAAGGATAGAGAAAAAAGGATGAAAAGGAATGAGCAAAGTCTCCAAGAAATATGGGACTATGTGAAAGGACCTGATTTATGTTTGATAGGCATACCTGAATATGACAAAGAGAATGAATCCAAGCTGGAAAATACTCCTCAGGATATTATTCAGGAAAACTTTCCCAACCTAGCAAAGCAGGACAATATTCAACTCCAGGTAATACAGAGAACACCACAAAGATATTCCTCAAGAAGAGCAACCCCAAGGCACACAATTGTTAGATTCACCAGGGTTGAAACGAAGGAGAAAATACTAAGGGCAGCCAGAGAGAAAGGTCAGGTTACCCACAAAGGGAAGCCTATCAGACTTACAGCAGATTTCTTAGCAGAAACCCTACAAGCCAGAAGAGAGTGGGGGCCAATGTTCAACATCCTTAAAGAACAGAACTTTCAGCCCAGAATTTCATATCCAGCCAATCTAAGCTTCACAACTGAAGGAAAAATAAAATCTTTTATGAACAAGCAAGTCCTCAGAGATTTTATTACCACCAGGCCTGCTTTACAAGAGCTTCTGAAGGAAGCATTATACATAGAAAGGAACAATCAGTATTAGCCTTTCCAAAAATATACCAAAAAGTAAAGAGCATCAACATGAAGAAGAATTTACATCAATGAATGGACAAAACAGCCAGTTAACATCAAATGGCAGTAATCCTAAATTTAAATTGACTAAATCCCCCAATCAAAAGATACAGCCAAAACCCAACGGTATGCTACATACAAACCCATTTCACATGCAAGGATACACAAAGACTCAAAACAAAGGGATGGAGATAGATTCACCAACAAAATGGAGAGCAAAACTAAATAAATAAATAAAATCAGGAGTTGCAATTGTCGCATCTGGTAAAATAGATTTTAAAGCAACAAAGATATAGTGGTAAAAGGATCTATGCAACAATAGGAGCTAACAATCCTAACACCCAGATATATAAGACCTATAAAGAGACTTAGACTCTCTAGACTCCCACACAATAATAGTGGGAGACTTCAACATCAGTATTAGATAGATCAACGAGACAGAAAATTAATAAGGATATCCAGGACTTGAACTCAGATCCAGAACAAGTAAACTTAATAAACCTTTATAGAGCTCTCCACTTTAAATACACAAAATATACATTCTTATCAGTACCACATCACACCTATTTATAGGTTTAAATGAAATATTGATCAGCCATTATTAAGCACAATTATTAGCATTAAAAAAGTTTTCAATACCCATTTTTAGAATAAAGCAACATTTCCATTCTCTCTCTTTCTTCCTCTCCTTCACTCTTTTTTTTCTCTTTCCTTCTCTCCTTTAAAATAAATAAATAAATAAATAGATAGATAGATAAATAAATAAATAAAAGATGATCAACCCAACATTTTGCTAGCAGATTAATGGGGGATAGAAGCCAAGTAAGGTCAGGGGGATCAATTACTGTATGTTCAAAATGATGTGATTATGATTGATACAGGCAGATACTAGTAATAAAGAAGAAAGAACACAGTGTAGAAGACAGACGTATATTTATTGAAAGCCAGTGTAGTAGGTGGTTTATACATTTTATTTCTTCATTCTTTCACCAATATATACTAAGTACCTATTTCATGAAAGGGACTATTCTGGGACTTGGAGATTCAGTGGTAAATAATACTGACCAAGTTCTTGTCCTCATTAAGGCCAAAGGCACAGAGAATAGACAAATCTGGAAACAAAACAACCATAAAATGTCTGCTTGTGTTAATTGCTAAAGAAAAGAAAGTAAGACATTGACACAGACTGAACAGGGTAGATATTTGGGCTACATTAGCTAGGGTGGATGGGGAAGGCCTTTTTGAAAAAATATCTTATTTATTCCTCATCATTTCCTAAATATAAAAAAGTGTTAGTCTTATAGGAGAAAATGAAGCATAGTGAGGTTTAGGAATGTACCCAATATTGGACAGAAAATGAGTTATGAGCTGGGATTTCAACAAGTCTTTCTTGGTTTCACAGTCCTACAGTCAACATTGCATCACAAATGACAGACAGTGCAGAGATTTGAGTGTACTTTTCAAACTGATTGAGCATGGGAAGAGGAGAAGAATGAGTATACAAATATTGTGAAATATTAATGAGCATAAAAATATTAAAACAGAAAAATAATGGGCCTTATAAGAGTTTACACAATTATTTTATATAATTGTTATTCTTTCTTAAGGAGAGCTTAGACGAATTAAATCCAAGCTTGGGTGAAGTAAAGAAGCATATGCTCATTTGAAAAGAAACAAATCTATTAGTATAATTAACACTGTGCCTTATAACACAATAATATCCAGAAGGATTTTGTTTAGCCTTAATTGTAACATAAAATGATTTCTAACCTTTATTTTTCGAATAAGGAAAAAAGGAGGAAGCATGGGTTGTTCTTTGCTATAGAAATCAAAGTAACTTTACAAATTTGAAGTGCTTAGTTATCTAAAATCATATCTTGGAAGGATATGTATTTGTATTTTTATTGTTTTATATATGTAACTTTTGAAGATGAGAGTGATCTGGGCAAGAGACCAGTGCTATCAGCCAGTATTGCATTTTGTTTACATCTAACAGAAATCGATGTAAACAAGGATTTTATGATGAGTAT